TGAAGACAATAGGAGTCTGATGAGGATTGGTGGAGGAAAAAAATGAATGATATGTGTTCTATTAAAGAGTTCACAGCTGAAACGTTGTTCATCACTCTGGCTACAATTTATACATTGAAGGCATGGTCATCAAATGCAGCTTTCTGTACTGTAATTGGCCTAGAAAACAAATTCAAATGAAGCATGAGAATAATGCTTTTCCTGGGATTAAGATAAAGATTTTTCTTTTGAGGGGTACGTAGTACCCCAATTCAACAGAACATGATGTCACCCTTGCAGAACTCTGTGAAAGCTGAAAGGAGAGTTTTGCTCCTTCTTTGGGTATTTTCAGGATTCTGTCCCTGCCTCCTTATGAAATTGAGCACTGGATGAGGACAATAATATCACACTCATTATTCAGACATTTGAATAATCTTATAACCTTCTTGAATAAGTATCTTTTTGAATAAGTCTTTTTCCTTTGAAATGAGATATTCAAATCACTGAGTGGTAGAGAAATTGTGCATGGATGAAAGAATAAATGAATCCTGATCTGCTATCTCTGCATGAGGCTTTCTGGATGTGCTAAAGTGATTTTTATCAGTGGAAAATAGCAACCAATTTCTTCAAGATCGTTCCAAATTCAAAATGATTTAGACAGTATATCTAAATCTGAAGACCACCCAAATAAGCAGTCACATTGACCTAGACATGTTGGTATTGCTTTTTAAATGTCAGTATTGCTGTAAAAGTTGTCTGGCTTTTACCCCCATCAGTGCCCTTGATTTATAGGATAGGAAAACCTATTTGTGTTCTTTCTGGCTGGAATGTCTACTTAGAGATTCATTCTGCTGGCTATGATGAAGTTACATACAGTGATACCCCAACTTTTTTGACTTGGCCCTCACCTAAACAATACTGGGATTGTGAGGTCCAACAGTAAAAGAAAAATGTAAAAACTAATTTAATATACTAAGAAGTTCTTACATGAATGCTGATTACGACCACCGGAAACAACGCTATTTTCACTGCTTTGGGGAGTAGAAAGAAGTGACATAAAATCCTGTTCTGGGGAGAAAGAAAGCTGGTTTATTAATAGGTACACCAAATGCAAAGACAAACAGGAACAGAAGCCAATGACTTGGCATCCAATACAGTTAACTTTCATCTACGTTTACATTGTTTCTGGTAAACATTGGTTCAACTATTATAATTTTAAATCACTAGAGTTGGAAAATGTTTAGATAAAACATAGTATCACCTTACCTTGTAATTTTAAAGAACAAAACTAGATCTTTAAGCCACAAAGTGTGAACAAGGGGGAGTGCAGGTTGTAGAAGAGAAAAGAGCTGTCTAGATGTGTTTGACATGAAAATAGAAGGCTTCTTACTGTAGTTTGATACACACAGTATTTCTTTACTTAAATTTTGGCCACAGAAGTAGTCTTACTGGTTGTATAAAATTGGATAGATTTCTGTCCAAAAAGAAAAGATGATTAAAAATACCTACTTCATGAGGTTGTTATGCAAGTTGAATAAATTAAGTTAAAGCATTTTGTAAACTGCAAACTCTAACAAAAATGTACTTTACAGCAGATAGTCATTACGTGTTATTAAGAGTCTGAAAAAAGAATTAATCCAACCTCTTTTGTGCTTTTTTTCTAAATTATAAAAAGAAAGCATTCGCATGTATATCTTTGCCAAAAATGTTTAACCTGAGTGTAATTGTGGAGGAACAATTAAGCAAATCCCATTTGAGGACATTATGCAAAGCAACTGAGCTGGAATCTACAAAAATGTCAATCACCCAAAACAAAAGGAACTCTATACACATGACAATATATGCAATGGTGACCTTTGATTGGATCTTGATTTTAAAATAAAATAAAATAAAATAGTCCTTCAGACTGAAAAGGGCATTATTGCGACAACTGGGGGAATTTGAACTGCATATTACATAATTGTATCATTTAAAATTTCCTAGATGTGATCATTATCATGTAATTACCATAGGAAATTTGTTCTTAGGAGGTACATGCTAAAATATATAGGGGGCGAAACATCTTTTTGTCCACAAGTAATTCTCAAATGGTTCAGCAACATATTTATATAGAGAGAGAGATAAAGCAACTGTAGCAAAATGGTAGTAATTTGGGAATCTAGATGAAGACTATTCAAGTGTTTCATTGTTAACTATTCCTGCAGTTTTTGTATAATTTTGAACGTTTCCAAAATAAAAAAAGTTGGATAAAATTTTAAAAAGGTAAAACAAAACCCCAAATACTCAAAATAGTTGAGTTATTAAAAACAAATTTTCTTGACATATGTTCTTTACAGATCATGTTTTTCTATCATCTCATCTTGGTGTGAGATACAACATATAGGTTTAAAAAGAAAAATCTTCCAGCAAAAGTAATGCTTGAAGGACATTTATAGCACTGAATGTATATATTAGAAAAGGAGAAAGATCTAAAATCAATAATGTAAGTTTCCATCTTAGAAAACTAGAAAAAGGAGAGCAAATTAAATCCAAGCTAAGCAGAAGAAAAGTTATAATAAAAATTAGAGCAAAAATCAATGAAATTGAAAACAGAGAATCAATAGAGAAAGTCAGCTGAACCAAAACGTAGTTGTTTAAAAGAATCAGTAAAATCTATAAGCCTCTAACCAGGCTAACTAGAAAAAAAGACAGAAGACACAAATTACTAATATCACAAATGAAGGAGGAGACATCACTACAGAGCCCATTGAAATTAAAAAGGATAATAAAAGAATACTATAAAAAACTCTACGCCCACAGATTTGATAACCCAGGTGAAGAAGACCAATTCCTTGGAAGCCAAATCTGCCAAATTCACACAAGAAGAAACAGATGATCTGAATTAGTCTGTATCTATTAAGGAAATTTAACCAATAATTAATAACCTTCCAAAACAGAAAGCACAGGCCCAGATGGTTCACTGGTGAATTCTACCAGACATTCAAGGAAGAAATACTACCAACTCTCTATAACCTCTTTCAGAGGGAAGCAGCAGAGGGAATACTTCTGAATTCATTCTCTGAGGCCAACATTACCTTAATACCAGAGCCAGATAATGACAATAGAAGAAAAGAAAACAAAAATCCTCAACAAAATATCAACAAAATGTCATGCAAAAATCCTCAACAAAATATCAGCAAATGGAAAGCAAAAAAGTAGACAAAGAGTTACACATTACACAGCTGGAGCAAGTGAGGTTTATCTCAGGTATGAAAGGCTGGTTCATAGAAATAATTGGTAAACTGGACTTGATTAAAATAAAAACTGTGCTAAAGACAATATGAAGATGATGAGAAGACAAACCACAGACTGGGAGAAAGTATTTACAAAAGACACATCTGACAAAAGACTGTTATCTAAAATGTACCAAAAATTCTTAAAACTCAATAATAAGAAAACAAACACCTTAACAGACACCTCCCCAAAGAAGATACATACAGATGGCAAATAAGCATATGAGAAGATGCTGCACATCATATGCTATCAGAGAAATGCAAATTTTAAAAAATATACCATCAAACACCTATTGGAATGGCCAAAATCTGGAACACTGTCAACACCAAATGCCAGTGAGGATATGGAACCACAGAAACTCTCATACATTGTTAGTGGGAGTATAAAATGATACAGCCACTTTGGAAGACAATTTAGTGGTTTCTTTAAAAAAAACTGAACATAATTCTACCATATGGTGTAATAATCATGCTTAGTATTTACCCAAAGAAATTAAAACTTCTGTCCACACAAAAATCTGCACATGGATGTTTATAGCAGCTTTATTCATACTTGCCAAAACTTGGAAGCAATTAAGATGTCCTTCAGTAGGGGAATGGATAAATAAGTAAACTATGGTACATTCAGACAATAGACTATTATTTAGTGCTAAAAAGAAATGAGCTATCAAGCCATAACAAGACATGGAGGAATCTTTAATTCATAATTACTCGGGGTAAGAGGCTAATCTGAGGAGGCTATATACTGTGTGATTCCACCTATATGACATTCTGGAAAAGACAAAACTATAGAGACAATAAAATGATCAATGGTTGCCAGGGGTAGGGGTGGGTGTAGGAGGGATGAACAGGCAAAGCACTGAGGGTTTTTAGGGAAGTGAAAATATAATGTAATTTTGTAAAATATAATGATGGATATATGTCATTATACATTTGTCCACACTCATAGAATGTACCACATCAAGAGTGAGCCCTTAGGTAAACTATGGACTTTGGGTAATTACGATGTGTCAGTGCAGGTTCGTCCTTAGTGAAGAATGGACCATTCTGATGAGTGATGTTGGTAAGGAAGGAGGCTACGCATGTGTGGTGGTCGCAGGTATATGGGACATCTCTGTACTTCTCTGTACTCTCAATTTTACTGTAAACATAAAACTGCTTTGAAAGGAACTATATTTGATATCTTATAATAACCTTTAATGAAAAAGAATATGAATATTATATATATTGCATGACTGGGACATTATGCTGTACACCAGAAATTGACACATTGTAACTGACTACACTTCAATTTTAAAAAAAGGAAAAAACTGCTTTAAAAAGTTTTTTAAACAAAGAATCTTCATTTAAAAATTTATTGTTTAGGCAGTACTTGAGATTATTATTACTAATATGAAACATTTTCCTACTGGCCAAATTTCAGGGAACCGGATGGAAGTTCTAAATCCATGTGCACATCTTTCAAGGTATTTAAAAGCAAAGTAAAAATGTATCTTCAGGAGTGTTCAGGAGATTAGAATATTGTTTTCATTAATTGTCTTTTAGAAAACATTCAATTCTGAGGGATCTCAGTTTAATGACTTCCTGCTTTACTTAAATTTTGGCCACAGAAGTAGTCTTACTGGTTATATAAACTTGGATAGATTTCCATCCAAAGTAAACTACCCAGTTTACTTACTTTTTGTCTCATTCTCCAGGAGAGTCACTGGGTGATTACGACAATGAGCAAGTTACCTATTTTGTTGTCCCTTCTTGGGGCTGGTGTGGTAGGATTCTGCCTTGCTCCCAGGCAGCTGAGTACAGGCAGAAGTCTGATGATCTCTTTCTTGTCCTTTTCTTGTTTACAGATCAGAAGCAACAGAATTAGAACGAGGACGCTCATAGCTTTTTGGTATGTAATTGAACTCTTCACAATGAATCTCCCTTTCAGTGATAGTTATGATCTGAAGGGCTCATACTCCACTTTGTTATTCTAATTTGTGAACCAAATTATAGCAGCCTTGGTAATCCCAAAGCTAGGATTAATGCGGAGAAAAGCTAATAGTGTTAATAAATAACCAACTGTGTTTGGTCCTCTGGATTTTCGTTGAAAATGGATTCTTGATGGCGATTACTTTTCAGTGGGAGAGCTGTTTGGTAAAGCAGTCATGGAATTATCTTGTTTGACCCCTTCAGAGTTCAGGAATAGATCATAACTATCAAAGTAGAACTATAATTATGTGAAGAATCTATAAGCCACTGTGTGTGTAGATGCCCATATATATATGGAAAGTTCTAGAAATGAGACATGTGCTAATCTAAATTTACTAATGATTACAACAAAATATTTATACTTAGTAATTATAAAAGTAAATCAAACTTAATATGTTCTCATCTTTAAATTTAATCCCTAATTGTCTAGGCAAGGATGAAGTTCTGTAAATATGGGTGTTAATTCTTCTCATTTTCCTTTAATTTTCTATTTATAAAATGATTTTAAAAGAAATATATGTTTCTGTTTCTGACTAGGACATCCATCTGTTGTAAGTTTTAACTCTTTTATTTTTTAGAGATAAAATACAATTCTAGCTTGCTGGAGAACGCAAGGGAAGCATTCTTTTTTACAGCTATCTATCAAGAACAATCCTTTTGTGATTTCATGGATAGAACTGAAATTCTGGTTCATTTTCAGAAAATATTAGTAAAGTAACTTAAGTGCTATTAGTTTTCTATAAGCCAAATAATAGTAGTAGTAATAATCAGTGTTCTCCCTAGTATGTAATTTTTACCACTTCCAATTACCTTGCAAGTGTCTTTGAAACATTGTTACTCATGACTCATTAGTCACCATCATCCTTTTTGATGACCTTCCCTTCTCTTTCTCTTTCTGTAGTTGTTAAAGTCCACTGTCCTGGTTGTCCAACTCACTGACAAAAAATTAGCTGTGTTGCATACGTTAGCGGTCAGATGTCTTCAGATACATACATTCCTTTTGTTTCGACATGTGTGTACCAAAGATGTGCCTTTGTTGATGAGATAGATTGTATGAATCAGTCAACAAGATTCCCGCGTGGCCTTCCATGGCAAAGAACACTTTATTGGGCATAATATTTGATATTTCATTGAGGAATTTGAAGTGATACTTTTCATACTTGTGCTAGTCATTGAAGGTTTACAAAACTGCTTACCTTCAGGTGTTAACGAAAATGGGTAGATTTTTACCATCTTCAAAAGTTGTCAAGTAATTTCCCAATAAAACATTTCTGATCCTCAGATTGGGGGTCTCCCCATCATAAAGGGTAGTTATCTGGCTTGCTATCAGAAGGAGGTGTGTTAGAAGGGAACCCTGCATTGGTAAAGACTGGCTGAGATGAACTCTATGGTCTCTTGTAATGAGAAACTTGACACTGCCTGTGTGAGATGATTCTTGGCTCTGCAACCAATGACCAAATTAGATACTTTGAGCCTTGTTGAGCATTCTAGAAATTCTTCTCCTGAGTAAAATCAGACAGTATCGTGGTGAAGACAGCAGGCTCTGAATTGAGATGGCCTGGGTTTGAATCTTGTCTCTGACTCTTACCAGCTGTGTGACCTTGGTCACGTTTCTTAACCCTTACGTGCCTCCCTTTCATCACTTGTTGAATGGAGACAGTAATAATACCTCATAAAGCTGTTGATAAGAATATAATCCTTAGAATCATATTTGTTATATTGGTATGTACTGGAAGATGCCAGTTATGATGGGGATGAATGAACGAGGTTGTCATCAGCAGATGTCATCACAGATGTCATCAGCTGGGGCATCTGTGCCTCTTGGAGAGCTTTCTACATTTGTCATTAACCTCCCAAATGTATGGCTTTTAAGAGTGGAGTGCACCTGGCAATGGCTTCTCTGAATTTCTAGCAACTGATTTCTTCAAGCATCCTGAAATACTGTCTTGGACTCACCTGAAGCCAACATGAAGGCATTGCTCAGACTCTTCATGAATTCCTAGTTACACCAACATTGTAGATGTCACCTCTACACACAGCTACCCTCCTTTCCCCAGGCACCATCTCCCATTTACCTTGCATCGCTTCATGCAGGCCTGTCTACCTACATTCAAACATTTCTGGATCTCAGATTTCATAACAAAGAACCATTTTTTTTCTTTATTGAAGTACCACCAGTTACAATGTGTCAATTTCTGGTGGACAGCACAACATCCCAGTCGTGCTCAGACATACATTTATTCGTTTTCATATTTTATGAAGAGCCTTATTATGATATTTTCTAACAAAGCTAGAAGTTTACCTTAGAGAAAGTCTTGTGCCAGCTACTAGGGTAATAAAATGTCTTCCAATTTGATGCAAAAGCATATTAATAATTTTCATCTTTACCATTGTTATTAAACAATAGTAAAGGACTCTGGCTTATGCAGTCACTCCAATATATTATAGACAGTTCTCGGTCCAAGTGTGTATAATGCGAGCAAACAGTTCATAATTAGTTCTCATTCACATGTGCTGAGATTTCTGGCTCCATGTTTATTTTGAGTTCTTCACAGAATTTTCTTTCTTATTTTGGTTTAAAACACACATACCCATAAAATTCACCTTCTGAACCATTTTAAGTATACAGTTTGGTGATACTGTACTGTTTAAATACATTCACATTATTGTACAAACATCACCACCACCATTCCTTGTAATTCTTTCCATCTTGTAGAACTGAAACCTCATGCCCAGTAACCAATGTCTCCATTCTCCTGTCCCACCCAGTTCCTGGCAACAACCATCATACTTTCTGTCTTAGGATTTTGAGTACTCTGAATATCTCATAGAAGGGGAATCATACAGTATTTGTCTTTTTGTGACTGGCTTATAAAACTTCATACAATGTCCTCAGGGTTCATATATGTTGTACCATACTGCAGAATTTCCTTCCTTTTTAAGGCTGAATAATATTCCATTGTGTGTACACCACATGTTGCTTATCCATTCATCTGTTGATGGGTTGCTTCCATGTTTTAGCTGTTGGGAATAATGCTGCTATGAACATGGATGTACAAGTACCTCTTTGAGATCCTGCTCTCAATTCTTCTGCGTACAGACATGGAAGTCAAATTGATGGATCATACAGCAACTCTATTTTTAATTGTTTAAGGAGCCATCATACTGTTTTCCACAGTGACCATACCATTTTACTTTCTTACCAGCAGTCTTCACAGAACTCTTATGTACAGAATGCTTGTCTAATTATTTTGACATATTTCTGTTGGGTAGTGAGTATTATGAAGTTTTCTGTGAATATATTTTGAACACAAGGTTCTATTTTTCCTGTTCTTTTCTTCTTGCTCTGCCTATGAGCAAGAAAGAACTATTTAATGTTAATTTATGTTACCAGGTGATTCAAAGTGTCAATGGAGTTTTTCCAGAACAGGACTATGTGTGGCCACGTCTCAGACTTCTAATGGAAAAACAACTCGGGCTCTGGGGATTTCTAGGCTTATTTTAAAATAAGCGCTATGTTAAAATCTCGTGTTCTGGCAGTGTAGGCGCAGATGACCCCATATGTTTTCTTCTTGAAGGCTCGTAAGTTTTTTTGCACAGAATATACCAACATGAGCAAGAATGGGGACAATTGGATTACAAAGAGAGAAATGGCTCGCTGAAAAACTCCTTCTAATACAGGTTAGTTTTTGAAACAGAATCTGCAGGCTTTTCAAATCACGAGAGGACAGGTTAATATTTAGGCAATTATTTTATCTGGCTAATAATACTTGTGCTTTCTGAAATTTTGGTTTAAAATATGAATATAGCTTTCTAAGGGATAGAATCTAATTCCCAAACTGATGGAGATTAGCTGACCATGTTGAAATCGTTTGAGGTTATTTCTACAAATGAATGGGGCATTTTCCCAGAAGATTTTCTGCCTTCACTGTAGGCAGTGAGGAAAAGGGGGAGGATAAAAATAAGCTTACTCAGGAAGCCAAAGTTTCTTGCTGTCAAACATTTCATTTTCCCTTAGTTTATTGTCCCCAGTAGAAATATTAATGTCTTTCTGAATAAAATCACCTTCTACCAAAGTGTTCAAAAAAAGGATTAATTATCTTGGGTATATGACAGTTTACAAGAGAAAAAATTTAAACATAACTTAAGTAAAATGAGAAAAGACTCTTGTTAGTGATGAGTGAGGCACAAGTAGCTCTTATCAGGCTAGGACACTCTGCTGTAGCAAATTAACCCTGCAACCTCAGTGGCTCAACACAACAAACCTTTATTTCTTATTTATACTGTATACTCAGTACTGGTTGACATGAGGAGGGAGGGCTCCTCCATGCCACATAGTCACTCAGGGGTGCAAAGTGATGAAGCCCCATCACCTTGTGGTGTCACCATGGCAACAGATGGCTTCAGTGTTTGCTGTGTTCGGGCAAGAGAGACTGTGGAGGACTCAGACTTTTCTCCAGACTGGAGGTGGGGCATGTCACCTCTACTGAGAGCCTATTGGCCAGAACTAGTCATTTGGCCTCTTCTAACCATGTTGGGCTGGAGGTCTTCCTGGGGCCCCAGGGAGCAAAGGAAAACGAGACATAGTGAGCACCAGTAATTCCTTCTTTGATGAATTTTGCTGGAAATTCTTGTATTAGGCATCTATATGAAACAACTTTCCTTCCTAAATCAGTCACACTTACCATTCCCTATGGCTTACTATGGTACTCTATTTAAATCTTTTAAAAATGATGAAAAGCAATGGCCCTCAAATGTCTAGACAGTTATAGAATTCTGTTATTAATAGTATTCCATAGAATTTATTTGTATTCTTAATAGTATTCTATTATTTCTTTTCTTTTTCTTCTCAATAAAACCATAACTTGAAATTAAATGTAACTCTAAATACAGAGCAGATAGCAAAATCCATTCACGTGA